TTAGTGACGATGGGTGGGTTTCAGAGGCACTTATTGATTGCTGGGATCTCGGAATATAATTGGATGTCACCTGGCCTCATTGAAATGTATGTCATGATGCAAATAGGACATCGTACATGAATGGGTTAGTGAAAATTGTAGAAATGTCTATCTTTATCTTGTCACTTTATAGAGTGAACAAACCAATATGTCATCCAGTAACTTGGCTTATTGTCACCTTCTAAATAGGTACCCAAAAATCCGGAGTTCATGGCAGACGCAGCTCGTATTCAGAAGGAGGAGCAGAAGAAGATTGATGAAGCAGAACCAGTTACAGAAGAGGAGATGGAGGAGAGGGACCAGCTCCTGACACAGGGTTTCCTCAACTGGAGCAAGCGTGACTTTAACCAGTTTATTAAGGCGAATGAGAAGTATGGACGTGATGATATTGAGAACATTGCTAAGGTAAAAATGATGATCATATTTTTCTTTTTCTTTTGATTAGTCAGATTGAAAATGGGTATAAGCTGATGCTGATGAAATTATTAGAAATGACTTTTAAGAAGTTTTGTCCAACTCAAAATCCTCATAGCTAGATCCGAATTTTCTATTCTTGTATAATATCTTTCTCATATTTCTTGCTCCAAAATCTATACACATCCTCATTCACCTCCTCTCTCCCCCTTAAAAACAGGAAGTGGAAGGCAAGACACCAGAGGAAGTCATGGAATACTCTGCTGTGTTCTGGGAACGGTGTTCTGAGCTCCAGGACTGCGACCGCATCTTGGCACAGATTGAGAGAGGAGAAGCCAAGATCCAGAGAAGAGCCTCTATCAAGAAAGCTTTAGATGCTAAGGTAAGGATGCAGGCATATATGAAATGTGCTGATCTAAATTTAGATTGTTGTGTAGTATGGAATTGGCTTTGTATTACCAAGATGAATAGATTGCTGCTTTTTTTATATGTCTTCTTTTTTTTGTCTTTAGTTAGTAATTCATGTTGGATTCAATTTAAACTTTTAACAAAAGTATGAAGAATTGAGGAATTCACCTGGCTCTCTCTTGCAGATGGCACGGTACAGGGCACCATTCCATCAGCTGCGAATTTCTTATGGAACCAACAAGGGCAAAAATTATACCGAGGAGGAAGACAGATTCCTTGTTTGTATGCTTCACAAGCTTGGTTTTGACAAAGAAAATGTTTATGAGGAGTTACGAGCAGCTGTAAGGTAAGAGAAGTGAATTTAACGTGTGTATGTGATACAGATGTTTTTGAAATGTATTATGTTGTATATGTAATTGTCTTTGTGGCTAGGCCTTAGCTGTGTACAGCTGGCCCACCTGTTGCAAGTCATGGTGTGTATAGACAGTTATGTCATGATGGCTATAGACGTACCCATCACTGAAGGGTTAGTTTCTTCCTGATATGTGATACCTTCAAATTTTATCTGTTTCTGATAGGTCAGCACCCCAGTTCCGCTTTGATTGGTTCATCAAGAGCAGAACAGCTTTGGAACTGCAGCGTCGTTGCAACACACTCATCACTCTTATCGAACGCGAGAACCAGGAACTGGAGGAAAAAGAACGGGCGGAGAGGAAGAAGGGCCGACCGAAGGGACTATATGTGAAGTCTGGGAAGAGAGGCATTGGCACACAGGACGGCAGAGGGAGGAGAAAGAAGAAGGTGGCTGAATAAGGGGGGTAAGGGAAAAAGGGGATAGGGTCAGGGGGGAGGTACTTTTTTTTATCTATTTATTTTTTTTCTATTTGGAGGGGGTGGGCATTGGGGGTTGAATGATTAAATTTGTAGAGATTTAAGATTTTTTAAATATTAAAATAGAAAAGAAAAATAAAATGACTGATACTCTCTCGTACTGGAATACATTCTTTGTGGGTGGATTACCTTAGGCAGGAATAGAAGAGATTTCTGAGACCTTTCTGTTTACATGTGTAAGCAAAATTGGAGAAATGTGAATTCAGCAGACTTAAAGTGACACGCATACAGGTGCATCATTCCTCAAGCTTTACAGGAAAAAGGAATATGTATTTTCCTACATTTATGAATGTATCTTCCCCAAAAATGCTCTGTTACCCAGGTACTTGGGTATAAAAACATGTCTTACCTTCTAAGAAATTTGTCATTCGGACTATGAAGTGACCGGTAACTAATATATACTTAGTTTTTGATGTTATGTAGTAATGTAGAATTGATTTTAAGTAGATAGAAGTGGAGGGCCATTCATAATTCAGAAAGGGGAAACAGTAAGTGTAATCTAAGGTCAATTTTTTGTTGAGATGAATCACAGTTTTAATTAAAATTTTGTTTTTGCCTTTTATCTGTAATCTCAGGAAAAAAAAGTATATCAAATCCAAAGACTGGGAGACCAGATTCAGTTGATATTATGCTGATAACAAAGAACAATCCTTTTGCTCAGTGATAACCATAGATGGACAACTGTTTTCTATGATAGCAGGTGCTTCAGTTCTTCACTGTGTGTTCCTCTTAAGGGAAGGATAGTATTACATTCCAAACACTGATACACATTAGACAAAGGTTACACTGTTGAGAACATTTGCTCTTTATAAAATTGTCTCCATGTTTGCAGTTTAGGGATAACATTCTTTAGGCAGGTATTAATATTTCGCACAATGACAGGTATCATAGAGATGGATGAGGTCGGTGTACATGTCCACAATTTTATTCATTTAACATTTAGTATTTTCGTCATTTTGTAATAAAAGAAGAACGATAATTTGTTTTCATTTAACCCTACAAAATACTTAGTACTTACAACTTGTACACCATATACCCCCCCCAACCCATGCCCATTGTTAACGTGGGGGGCATAGGAGACTGGGATTGAGACCCAGTATAGAAGACCACCCCAGCCTTGGGCCTCAACCTTTGCCACAACTAATTTTGCATGGTCTTTCTCCCCTCTTCCTTTTCCTTCTCTTCTTCCATCCCTTATTCTGTCCACTTCCTGAAGTGAAAGAGCTGATACAGGACTGATACAAAGCCAGATTTTCAACCTTTCAAGGTTGAAAATCTGGCTTTGTATCAGTCCTGAACGGCCTTCAGGAGCCATTGACATGGTAGCGCCTTGGTGAATCGCCTAGCCCATAACCATTATGGGGTACCTGAGGGGTAGACCATTTCGTTTCCCCACTTATTTCAGGCTCACCATGGCCAATAATGAATATATTTTACCCTAATAAGGGGCATTAAAGCTTGCCCCTTCATTACCTACTCTAAATTTGATTTCATTGGTTTTCTAACCCCCGCGTCTCCTTTGACCACGGTTCCGACCACTGATACTTGCTGTCAACTCTGTCCATTCTAAAACATTCACCCAGATCATTACTCGACCTTCAGAATACACCCTCTTCTCTCTCCTAACATCTTCCACTCCTCCTCCTGAACAGTGGTATTTTTTTTCTGCTCTCTCCTCCCATATTGTTATATTTCATCCTTATTATCCTCCTCCCCACAGTACTAATTCACTCTACATCACCACCTCTTCCTCTTGCTCTCGTCCTTCTGCTGATTCCACCTCTGCAAAACAATAGAATGCTCTTTTTAGCCCAGCTAAATGGGATCGATTCTTTGATTCCCCCTACAGCCCCTACGTTGACAGTACCCTCCTCTCACAAAAATGTCTCCCAAAAACAAGTAGGCAAAGTTACCTTTCGCAGCCGTCTTGATCGTTCACGCCTTGTAATGATAATAACTGGGTCCCAGACTCGTGCACAATCTACCCCGACTGACTTAGCAGGCAAACGTAGTCCTGCCCAGCCGCACTCCACACTTAAAATTTGTATCGGAACTGCTTCCATCTTCCCGGCTAATTGCCCTGTCTACAAGTACTGGTCTGACTATGAAAACGACCTGTTTGCCTGCCTCGTTGACTGTGATGCAGTGACTGTACAATGCTAAACTTCCTCCCAGAGGTCAGCGTAGACCTACACAAATATTGCCAAGATTAGCTTCCGTAGACATGACCTTCCCTATGAAGTTTACATTGGTGGTTTGTCCTGTCCTGTCCTGTCTGACCATATCGACCCCTTCCTCGTCAATGTCAGAAATTGTGTTTTGACCACCCAGCCAACTGCTCTCAATATGCCCAACCCCTTGCTCCCGTGGTCATTGTCGTCGTCGTTGGTGGGTTTAGGAGACGAAGACTGAGCCCACGTTGGACCTCAACCCACGTCGTAATTAATTTTGCATGGTCATTTCTTCTCCTTGTTCCCTTTCTTCACCCCCTTCTATCCATATCCTAAAGTACGAGAGCCGTGCTGAAAGGAATGGAAGACTGGCTTTGTTAGTATTGAACTGCCTTCGTACTCCGTTTGCTATTTCCTCTTTAACCTCTTCACTGCCATACTAACCAGCAGTGCTCTACAACCTTTGACATCTAACATAGTTTGTCCTAATCGGTAACTCATTTTTAACCTTTTTGCCGCAATACTTTATTATACTACTGTATGACCTTTCGTTACTTGACTTCACCCCTAAGCCAGAGGGGAATCATGGCCTTATGCCTTGTGTATCATGTAAAACTTCACAAGAAAATGACTGATATACCCCAGGAACATGAAAATAATTGGAGATACGTAAGTATTTTGTTTTACGTAGCACTTACTAATCCCAAAAATATACTTGTCAGTGTCCTAGATGCTGAATTTGCTGCAAAAAGTATTTATCTTTAACCTCTTTAATAAAGATTGCAGAAGCTTCGTTTTACGTTCATAAGTTCATAAAAAGTAATAAAAAAGCAAAATGGAAATTGATATGTAATGGCGTGAACACATCTGAACATGCCATAAGAGATGACTAAAGAATGTGACTGAAATCAATGTAACCAATCATTTTGGGAGAATGACGGAAATCCAGTGTTGACAAGGATACGTAAATATCTGTGAACCGATTAATGGAATGGAGAAGACACTCAACGCTTGATAATGGAAACCATGCATGTCCTGGTAGCGGAAGGAATATACATATTAAAAAAGAGAACTAAAGAATATAATATGAACCAAAAACATTCAGGGAATCGTCTACCATTTTTTTTGCCAACGCAGGTATATGCATTTCCAAAGAGTTTCAAAAATTTGAAGCCCCCCCCCCCCCCCGCAATTATTAAAGTGGTAACCACCACATTTGGTTTCCACCGAAAATGACTTTTCACCTTAACTTAGAAAATCGGCAATTGTGACATATGATTAAAAATGAGATCATCTCCAGAAAGCTTATAAAATTCCACATATTTTGAGGCCGACCTTCAATTTTTCGGCATTATATAAATCAACAGGAAGGACATGCCGTTCCTATAGAGTATATTACTTTTTTTTGTTTGGATCATATTTCGTCAGTTTCACCCTTCAGCAAAAATTTTGAACATGCAAACCCCACCACCCCAAAAAATTAAGGTAGGTTTGTCAAATGATCCTGATCACCACCAATATTTGATGGAATGTTAGGCGAAGATACACTTCTGGTAAAAATCTCATAAAAATCTGTTCATAACTTTTTGAATTACGTAAAAAAAATCCTGGATCCAGATCACCGGCAAAATGTAACGGCGTCTAAGGTAGGCTAAGATACACCTCTGATAAAAATTTCATTAAAATCTGTTCATAACTCTATAAGTTACCCATGTAAAAATAAACAACCAAACAACATTAAAACAAACAAACAAACGGTGGTAACAGTATATATAAATCATGAAATACACGCAATGATCTGTATATTATATATAAAATATCGTACATATATACTGTTACACGACCCTGTGTATGTATATATGTATTTCATGGGAGTGTTGATGTGAAAGATGGGTATTTCGTCCCGTAGACTTACACCGCCCAGGACTTTGGCCTTAGGAACACGTGATCGCGGCGCCTTCACTCGCGTCCCGGCCTGCGAGTGTGGTGTTCAGTGGCATGGAGAACGACGATATTTCTGACCGGTATTTCATGTTGTAAACCCCCATTATATATAGCAATATTAAAGGTAAATAATAGATGATTTCATCATAGAAAAATATTTCACACATCATTTGTTATTCATAATGTAAAAAATGTAAAGTTGAAAAAAAAAAAAACGCGATATTTCTGTACACTACGTTTTAACGCGTACCACACGTGTTTTTAGTCCGAAATAAATGTAATATGGCTCATTCTGTGGCTGAATAGTAAATCTATTCAGTGATGCAATTAGTTTTTGCAATTTTTTCATGTGCTACTCTTAAAAGTGACCTATATATAATAAAGCCTTATGGTGCTTAAAAGTTCTCTACGTAAAATATTCACCAAAAAACTGTGTCGAAATCGAAAAAAATATTTCGCCATACAAAAGATGAAAGGTTGTTCTACTCAGAAATGAAATCAGAATGCCTGTATTATTTTTGGATTTTCCGCAAGACTTCAAAATGCCCGTAGATGATAGGTTACTATATTGTAAGATGATTCTTCTTCTATTATTGTTCATACTTAATAAAGTATGGAAAGGAAAAAAAAAAACTTCAACGACCGTTATTTCGAAATTATACCTATTTCGACTTCAAAATTTAGTAAAAAATAAATATATCATGGCTCATTTTAGAGGTAAATAAAATATCTAGGGAATATGTGAGTTTTTCCCCTTTGCTTCTTGTAAAAGTGACATGTAAATTTTTTTTATTTGATTCCTGAAAGTTGCTTTGGTAAAATATTCACATAAAAAACTGGGTCGAATAAAAAAATATGCATTTGCTATGGGAGGAAAGATTGTTCTATTCAGAATGCCTGTATTATTATTATTATTATTTGGATTTTCGACCAACCATATTACGCTCTGGGAATTGCACGTAGATGATAGATGATTATGTTGTAAGATTATTTTTCTACCTTATATTGGATGGATGTGTTAAAAAACTATCAGAATGGCTGTGTATTTTTTATTTTTTTTATTTTTTTAAATTTTCGCCATTTTGTCAATTATCCTTTTTTTTTATTTTGTTTTTCGTTTTTGAATATAACTCAAAAGGTTTTTCGGCAGTTAAAAATACAACTTAATATCTGAGCTCTCACTAGGGTCTAGATAAAAGGGTGTAATTTTCATTAAAATCGGTAAGAGAAATCGAAAAAAGCAGATGATTCCCTTAAACTTTACATTGATTTATGATATAAATAACCTTTCATGGGAAGGTACTCAAATAATGCACTATAGATCAGCCAAAACGATAAACACAATTATTCTTTAGATATACTCTAAAATCAAGGTTAAGAGTAAAATCAGTTTCAAATGAACCTAAGTTAAAAATAGGCCTTGTTGGAAAATAAATAGAGGAATATTTATTTTCAATATCCTTGAATTTATTTCTGTCAAACGTAAAAGATACATCAAGACCGAAAGCAGTCATGGACATGGCTGGAACTGTATGGAAATTCATCCATTAAATGGAAATTAAAGACGACCGACGGATGGTGACATCACTAGAATTTTTTTTTCTCCAGAGGCCATATTTTTGTTATTTTGTATGACTACAGATGTTTTGATGCAAAAGAAATGTTTAAAAGAATAATATATTTTCCCATATTCAAATAAATTAAACAGGAAAATTGCTGAAACCATCCAGGAATGATCTGACAAGTGTTAGGCCGAACGTCGTCACAGCGGAATTTCATCCGATGTCACTTCAGCTGGGTCATCTAGCTGGGCATCACCCACACAAACCAGAGCAACAGTCTCATAGAGTGACTTTAAACCTTC